CAATATATAAAATATATAAAATAGAATATTGTCCAAAAGATTCTCAAAAACTTATTCCAAAATCGCTGAAACTACAAAAATTTAATTTCTCAAAAATTAATGTCAGAAAAATAAGAAGGCGTTATATTGTAAAAACAGCAAATCTAAAATAGATATTTAAAGTGTGGGAAATATCTGTCGATTATACACAACAATAATAAAATATAGAGACATTTATTTTAATCAGAAAAGATTTAATTACAATAAGTAAACTAGAATTTGCTGGTTCTTGCTAGAATAATACTATTGTAGAACGCATAGAATAATACTATTGTAAAACGCATAAATTGTGAATGTAGAGAATGTACAGAATACATTTATTATTTTTGAATCAAGGATTATGTGATCAATTATTGCACAGTTCTGTTATTCATACATATATTATTGGGTTGAGTCATAAATAAGATTTGTTTCTTAAAATAAAATTTATTTGTTAATAAAAATTGGTGCATTTGACACTTCGGCTATTAAATTGAAATGGAAAAACAATGTCCTAATAACCATTAATCAAACCTTAATTGACAGGACATATAATCAGGCAATTCTCCAAACAACAATTATATTCTATCTGCATCATAACTTATTTGTAGCTCAACCTAATAATAATTAACATTACTGTTTAATATTGGGGATGTATATTTTAACCATAATGGTATATAACAATAGGTATACAAAATAAATGTATTCTTAATAAAAATATCAATGTGTCATAAAAATACTAGAGATTCTATCTAAAAAAAATTATATGCTTGTGAATTATATATTGTGTTATGTCAAAACTGTAAACTTGAATTATTGACTCTTATCCAGCTTTTTAAAATTTTAATACAGTAATTATTTATTTTTTTCTGTAAATAAATTATATGCCAACTTAAATTATTTTATAGTTTCACAGTTGACATAACATCGATAATTTAGGAAAATTATTAAAAATATCATGTAATTATTAAATATTGTATTGTTCAATTTTGTATTAGTTCATATTAACATTTATAATTAATCTAAGAAAAGATACAAAACCATAATTAAATCTATTATGGCAAAATATTTCTTAGCATTACAAAAAATGAAATAACTATTTGTAAGATATAATCCTAGGTATACAAAATTAATAAAAAGTGTACTAGTCATTTTGATTTTAAGACTCATCTATTTCCTATACTAACTGGAATTATCTATATATTTAAAAAGTTATACTTTATCATAAAAAAATCATTTGTCAAGAAATGTATATACATTCAACGACAAAATAATTTGCTGATAATTATGCAAGTAAAAATGTGAAATATATTAAATATTTTCAAAAATATGAATGGCTTAATTGGCAACAATTTATAACACTTGATTAATAATCTCTTACAAAGAGTTTGTGAATAAATGGATTAAGGTACATGTAAAATATTTATGACACATATAATAATACTAATTAATAATTATTGAAATAAATGCAAAAATATGGAAAAAATCGAGTACTTTACGTACTTTACTTAAAACAATATAAACATACAAACGCATTAACATATATTCTTTGATATGCTTTCTCACATATAAGACAATATTGTCAGGTAATATTTATACCCACACACCATGTGGATTCTTACTTGTGGGCACTGCAGTTTCTAATTGTCTTGGTGATCCTATCATTTTACGTGTACTCCCAGGTTTATGGGCACCTAATAATTAAACAATTTTATTTATTAAATAATATATACAACAAACAAATGTAAGAAACAGGCATGTATGACGTGTATAAAATAAATACCTTCTAATAAAGATTTGACTTGCTCATCTGAGCATGCAACAGCTAAACTTTGCAGATTTGCCTCCTTCATGTCAGCTACTAATCTCTCTACTTGTAATTTCTTCTCAACGATGGCGGTCTCTAAGTTAACTACTTCTAATTTTAAAGATTCTGCATGTTGCGAGGCTAATTCAGTTGCACGTTTAGCTTGTTCTACCTCATTTTGTAAATGTTCCATTTCACTCATTATTTTCCGTTCCATAATTTGTCGTTCGTCTGTTTCACGGCTTATATTGTGTTGTTCCATCGCAAGTTCTTCCATAACTAGCCTGTAATTATAATTCTTATTATCTATTGTTATAATCATTTCAATGCAACATAATCTCTTATTCCGTAATATATTAAAGAAACATTAAATATTTTTATAATAAAAGATATTGTTACCTAATTTTATTTTTACATTGAAGAAGTTCCGTTTCGCAATTGGCAAGCTTTGATCTGAGCAATGTTATTTCTGACTTTAATGTTTTTTCCTGTTGCCTAACTATTTCACTTTCTTCTTCCACATGAGCTAATTCCTTGAGCTGATCAATACAAAAATTAACAATTCAGTAATTCATAATTGACATTAACATTAGAATATATGATAATTAGATAAAAATTACTTGTTCCTCGATGATACGTCCAGTGGACTCAATACGATTCATTTCTTGAGAAATGTAATCCATTTGATGCATTTGTTCCCTATTCTTTGTTTCCCAGTACAATATTTCTGCATCAAACTAAAATAAATAATTACCAAAGTTTATATTTTTGTGAAAAAGTTAAATTAATTTGTGCAAATTAAGCATTACTTTGAAAAAAAAATATTTTGTGATATCTTAATTATATTAACTATCTGGATCTCTATTATCTGGAAGAGTAAATATTTTACTTTTGTTAGTATCAGCTTGTTGTAGACATTAATAGTATCTCGCTGCTTGTTGACTAGTCTTATAAGTTCAACATATCGTTGAGTGTAAGCAACAGTTGCCATATTTTGTGTTGTGACAGAAAGGGGATTAACAGATTGTGTAGGCACTTTTGTGTCTTGAAATTCCTGTAAGCGATATATTTTAAATGTATATGCAGTCTTATAAATTATAAGAAAAATATTTATTTTATTATAATATTTTATTATAAGAAAAATAATTATAGCAATAAAACCTGAATGAGATTTCTTTTCAATTTAGAATTACTAGAAGATGGTTGATCGTCTTTGGGTACATGAGGGCTTCCGCTGCCATGTACAAATTGTGATCTTCCAGGACTGTTTAAATTCGGCGGTGGTGGATCTCGGTAAGGTGGCAAAGTGCGTAATGGCGGTGAAGATGGGCCTGGAGGATCTCTGTAAGGTGGAACCTCACGTACCTTTTTCTGTAAGTGTATGGCGACTGCAAGAAAAAATAAATTAATAACGACACAAATAACATCATGAACATTGTTGCAAATATCGCAAGATAATTTAAAATAAAAAAGTAATTATTATTAACATTTTTAATAGATTAATTTTTTATTAATATTTTCAATATAACATTTCAAATTATCCTAGAATAACTTACTTTCAGTATTAGTCCCTCGCGTAGGTGATTGTGCCGGTTTTTGTACATTTTTTCGAGTATTCAAGTCCTTATTCTTTAAATGTGGTGTAGGCTGAACTACAGCTACATTATTCTCCATTTGAATCTAAACATTTTTATTTATATGTATTAATGTAATTAATTAGAAAAAGATTAATAAAAAGAAACAAAAATAATTTTTATATATAAAATTATATATAAATTATATATAAAATTATATATTATATATAAAAATCACTTGTTTAAAATAATTTATATAAAAAAATTTATTGTTAATATTTGCTTTATTGTTTATTGTAGATTTACTTCTGTGCTATTTTCTGCAACATTTCCATGAAATCCACTAAATGTCAGTGATTTTCTTGTGTCTCTATTCCTTTCCAATCCTCCTTGTGTATCATCAAAATCTGAACTTTGTGTAGTTGATACAGTTTTGTTATCATCCTGTGTGTCAGTGGACCCTGTTCCATGCTCAGGTAATGAAATAGGCAAGCCATTTGGACGCGATGCATATGTCAGTCGAGATGATAATGCACTAGTTTTATTATTTTCTGGTGTGGAACGTCTCAAAATCAATTGAACTTCGGAAGAATATTCACCCCATTTCATCAAAATCTAATCAATATAAATGGTACTGGATCAACTTTTATTAATCTTTGTATTTACAATTATATCAATATAAATATTTTGATTTACTTAAAAGTTTCATATTTAGTTAACATTACAAGATATATTATACACTCGCGATATTTTTGCATATATCGAAAATATATCTAACCTTAAGAGGATTCTCATAAGGAGCCAACAAACGTTCGCTGCTTCGCCAGCGTTCCACCAAAGTGAATCTACCTGTCTGAGCTGTAGCATGAGCCAGCGCATATACCACATCCTATAAATAAACTGTTGTGAGCAGTGATTTTTAAAAATAAAACAAATAAATAAAGTGCTCTTAAGAAACAGAGTAAAACAAATATAATTCTCAATAAGAATAAATGTAATGTTATAAAATATAATAATAAAATATTTTATATATACATATTTGTAAAGAATTTGATTATTTATATGATAATATGTATAAATATAAATGATACAATTGGAAACAAAAGTATAGACAGAAAATTATATTCAACATGCAAAAATAAATCAGAAATGTAAAATCAAAATTTTTTCTCTCTGTTTTTAAGACGTAATCGAAAACTTTTTTCCTTTATACAAAATAATTGTAAAAAGCCGCTAAAACTAAATAGATAGGGTATATTACAAATCCATTAAAAAATAATGACATGTAGTTGATGATGTAAACAATTATTTTGAATTTATATAAAATTCAACAAATTATTGGAGATGTTTAAAATCCTGCCTGTCTTTACATTCTGTTATGTATGTAAAATTATTATATACATATAAATACATATATATAAATACATGTGAAATATATCACATAATACAATGGTTATAAGTTTCAGGAAATACATACTTGACAGGTGGTGCTCTCGGTAACCCCACAAACGATACGTTGAATTCCCTCCACCCAGACTTTGAGTTCCATCACGTTAATTGCGATATCCTATTTCAAATTTAATTCCTTACATTGCAAATGCAATCAGCTTGCATGAAGAGGCCGTTCCTCATCTTTGTATATCAGATACCATAACCTCGCAGTCACCCATGTACGTCTCGATATTTTCACATCCGGATGAAACCAATTGGCTCTCGTCTCAATACAATCGTGCAGATATCATCAAAAATAAAACAGCTGCAATGAATATAACGTTTTGTTCCCAACGGGCTTTTAATTCTTCTTTGACTTCCGATATGCAATTATCGAGATGACAGATGTGCTACTACGGCGACACAACACGCTGGCGGCAATTTGCATCAAACGTTTCATATGCACGACGGATAAATCGTTGATTGCGGTTGATAAAATCATATACAAACGCAACATCAGAAGAGATCTTTTTAAAAGGCTAATTTTTCCTTCTCATATTTTTAATCAATAAAATAAATATATAAATTATTTATAATTTGAAATATTTGATGTAAATATATGTATTATAGTCAAAGCTAATTGGAGAAAAAATGCAGTTTTACAGTAATATATATTATTACTTTGTAAAAGTATATTTATGAGGCCTCCTATCAAAGCCACTGATAATCATAAAAATTTAATTGGAACTATCTTTGATTTGGATACAGAGATTTTTTTTTTCTGATATATTATCCAAAATTAATTATTAATTGTATATAATTTACTGTGAAAATTAAAATTATAAAACATATATATTTATGTATCTGCTTCTGTTATTATAGGATAAAACGATTGCAAAAGAATAAAATCATTTTCCATCAGAGGAAATTTTTATTTTTATATATACATAAGGAAAAAAGATGTTATAACAAATTACTTCTTAACCTTTTTATCTTTCGCGACTTTAGTCACCTCATCAGGATTCTCTGACGCGTCCTTAATGCGTTTTGCACGAATACCGGCTAATCGCTTGTCAGCTCGTGCTTTACGAAGGGTTACATATGCAGAGAATTTAACTTCTTCTTCGGTAATAGGACGAGCCTTTGCCTTGGCGGGTGCTTGATGTCGGATAGGCATAGGTTCTCCCTTGATCTGAACTGCGAGTTTCCTTTCTTCTTCAGTTGCATCACCCTTCTTGGGCTAAAATATAAAAAAAGAAAATTAATGCGGATGAAATAGAAGCGTATCGTCCATAGATTATCATGTTTGCAATTTTTAAATAACAAAAAAAAAGAAAACATTCTATAAATCAACGATAACTGAGGCAGAGAGAATACATACCTTTTGCTCATTTGTAGGGAAGAGGATCAACTTAGCCTTGTATTCCTTCAAACGCTGAGCATTTGCTTGCAGAGACTCAATCGACTTGGTACGACGACGAGGATCGACTGCAATTCCGATTGTCCTAGCAAATCTCCTGTTCAGACCACTAGCCTTCAGTTCGGAAAGTGTAAAACCTTTGCCAGCACGTACCTTCATATGATAGCGAGATGTTGGGCAATGAACAATAGGTCTTAGAAGTTTTACAGGCCTGAAAAAAATAACCAATAAAATTTAAAATAACCACTAAAACAAGCAACAAATTTTATAATCTACATGTAGAAATCTTGAGCAACAAACTGAAATTTATAGATAGTATATATTATCAATATAACATAGATGTTTCATATATTTAACATACCTAGGGGCAAGAGCTCGTGCCTTCTTGACACGTTTTTGCTTGCGACGGATCTTCCTCGCCGGTTGGTTAAACCAGGTCTTCACATATCGCTGCCAATCCTTATGGAAATGGCCATTTGGAATCATATTATTTCCCTTCCCCATGATTGATGTCTAAGATCTGCAACAGAGTCAAGACTCAGTACCTGGATGGATATTAAATATTTTTGAAAATGAGGAAATGTCCGATCTTCTTCTTTATTATTATGTGCCGTCAACCTGCTGTGAGAGGTATTTACGAATATATAGGCATCATAACATTCAATATGCATGAGAGGTTAGTATCTGTAATCTAAGTACTATGACTAAATGTAGATAAATTCATATCTATCGAGAAATTGTGAATAAAACAGACATATGAAACTGCATTGAGGCTGAGGAAAAATCGCGAAAAAAGCGAAGATAAAAAAGAGCAGAAACAGATCTATCCAGATTCTAACCTCCCTTCGGCGGTTAAACTTGATATAAATTGGGATCAATTATTTTGTTGCAGGAATCAGATATAATAAGACGAAAGTAATCGGAAAAATAGATAGTTTTGCGTTCCTATAAGTACATATCCCGCAGAATATACGATGGCAATACCTCGCACAGATTTAAATCTTACTCGACATTCACTCACCGACTGACGGACGCGAGGCAAAACGGAAAAGGATCGTGGAATCGGCCGGAAGTGGCACTTTTCGGAGCAGAAATTCTACTGCGGGACTCTCTCATATATGCAAACGAAATTTTTCAGCGCATTTCTCGGAGATGATTATTAGGACGTAGACAATATTCGTGGATTTTTTCAGGACAGCGAAAGGAATGATCGAGTCTTAATAACACAAACCGTGATTTATCTACAGTTGTATAGAAAAATGGCAGCGCACGTGGTGTAAAGATACACGCTGGATCACAAAACGAGCGTGTGTCGTTCTGCTTCACATTGTTTATTTGTGGAAAGGACTAGGATTTCACAAAATGACGCAAAATTTACTTTATTCCTTAAAAATGATATCGCGATGCAAGTCACGAAGGTTTTTAAGGAACTTTTACCAGTCATCTCAAATGTCTAACGCGTCACTGGTATTTTTAATTGTTTTCTTGCTGATTATATGTGGAAATTATATGTGGATTATATGTTTAAACGTCAAACCTTGCTCAGTTTTTATTTTATTTATCTATGATGTTTTGCAGTATAGTAAAAGTTTTAATAAAGTTTTAAATTGATTGTGATAAAGTTTGAGGTTACAAAGTGGTTTATTAGTCTTCAACTTTATGTCCCTCTCTGCCAATGTAAAGTAAATCTTGATTTAACTTATTCTTTTAATTCTAAGAATTAGAAAAAAGATAAAGAATAGATTAAATTCAGATTAAAGTTAATCTATATTAATAGAAATAAGTTATAAAAATTAAAAGATGAGAGACAAATTAACGAAATTGCATCATTTAAAATTCAAGATTACATGATTTCAACCAGATTATTGGTAATTGATTTTATCATCGCTTGACTTGTCAAATGATATCTGTATCATTTTGTTATTGCAAATTATTAATTTCTTATTGTATAAGAAAAAGATGAGATTAAGAATTAATTAGATCATTTTAAGTAATCCTACTGAATAAATTAATTTTCAATGGGATATATTGATTGGTTAATCACAGTTTGATTGAAATGGATCTTAATAAGATTGGAAGCTTTTCAGCAAGAAACAGAAATTGACACAAAAGTCATTCCTTGTCTTTTATTGAATATCAAAGAAAAACAAATGATTTCCGTCAATCTATGTCTTTTGTTGAAGAGCTCCTATCATCATTAAAAGTTATAGAATAAATTTATTTTAAACAATGTTTTTATTTATAGTTTTTTTTTAGGTGACATGTACATTGAATATCAAGAAAAATATAGAGGAACATTGGAGAGATCGAGTCAATCCTAAATTCAATATTACTGAGGATAGCAAAGATAAATTTTATATTCTTTCTATGTTTCCATATCCATCTGGGGCTTTGCACATGGGTCATGTTCGAGTTTATACAATAAGCGATACAATAGCTAGATTTTATAGATTGAAAGGTAAGTTTCATCAATATCTATCATAGAGATTTATATATCAAGAAATAATGGAATATTTTATAGGACATAAGATTAAAGTATGAACTGAGATAATAAATCTTATAGTAAATCTTTAATAACAATATACAATATAAAATAATAATTATGTTTACAGTTTTAACATAGAATATCATAATAAATCTTAGGTAAAAATGTGATTCATCCAATGGGTTGGGACGCTTTTGGATTACCAGCAGAAAATGCTGCTATTGAGAAAGGAATCAATCCTAGTGTATGGACAAATAATAATATAGAAACAATGCGTGATCAGTTGAGAATGTTGAATTATTCTTTTGATTGGAATAGAGAATTTGCTACCTGTGATCCGGATTATTACAAATGGACTCAGGAACTGTTTTTAAAGTTGTTTGATAAAGGTTTGGCGTATCAAAAGGAAGCCTATGTCAATTGGGATCCAGTTGATCAGACTGTACTAGCCGAGGAACAAATAGATGTAAATCAGCGATCTTGGAGATCGGGTGCACTCGTAGAAAAGAAATTATTGACACAATGGTTTATTAGAACGACAGCTTTTGCAAAGTAAGTTCGAATGTAACATATATGGCAGTTTGAAAAATTAATATTTTTAATTAACAAATTGATTATGTCTATAGATCACTGCTGGAGGGTTTAGATGATCCAACCTTGAAGGAATGGAAAGATATTATAAAATTACAAAAGCACTGGATAGGTGATTGCAATGGCATTAGTATCGATTTTAAATTAGTGTCTGAAATTCCAGAGTTCCCGGGAACATTAAATATATGGACTGACTTGCCAGAATTTATAGAGTACGCAAAGTTTGTTGCTATATCACCTGAAAGTATATTACATCGTAAAGAGCATACGTATGAAATAGATGTTGGAATAAAAAATTTAAACGCGAAAATAATAAATCCATTTTCCGGTGAAGAATTGCCGATATTTGTCACCGACAAAGTGATTTATCCGCCATGGAGAGACACCCGCTTGGGCATACCTTCAGCATCGATGGATGATCTAAAGTTCTCGGAGTTGGTTGGAATACCGTTTACTCGACATTCGATACGTAGCTATGAACAACAACAGCAAAGGATATCTGAAGTATTCCATAAGGCTAGAGAATTGCAAATAGGTGGATATCCAGTAAGCTCAAAATTGCGAGATTGGCTAATCTCTAGACAGAGGTATTGGGGTACACCTATACCTGTTATACATTGTGCAAATTGTGGCGTACAGCCTGTACCTCATGATCAACTTCCTGTGATATTGCCAGAGACACACTCGGGCTCGAATAAAAGACTCTCGATCCATGAGATGAAGGATTGGTTGCAGACAGAATGTCCTAAGTGTGGAGAAAAAGCGACTAGAGAAGCTGATACAATGGATACGTTTGTAGATAGCAGCTGGTATTTTCTAAGATTTATAGATCCAGATAATACGAAAGAGATGTTTTCGGTGGAAAAAGTTAAGAAAATCTTTCCCGTGGATCTTTACATAGGCGGAAAAGAACATGGTATAATAACTATTTTATTAATTGCTTTACATTCCAGACACACAACTTAATCTTTATAAATATCATATCTTTCAGCCGTACTTCATTTATACTTTGCCCGGTTTATAAGCCATTTCCTGCACTCGGAAGGACTTTTACCATGTCGGGAACCATTTAGACAACTTCTTGTACAAGGAGTAGTAATGGGTAAAACGTATCAAGTGATAAGTACTGGCAAATATATAACAGAGGATGAGGTGGTGATGAAAGAGGACCAATACAAGACAAAGTCTGGAGAACTTGTCTCTATGCACTGGGAAAAAATGTCAAAATCAAAACACAATGGAGTCGATCCTCTTAATTTGTTGAAGAAATATGGAATAGATACAACAAGGTTATTAATATTAGCCGATGTTGCACCAACGTCTACTAGAAATTGGTCAGAAGACAGTAAGTATTTTAAAAATCGATTATTTAATCGATGATCTTATCAGAAAATAATATATTTATTTCCATAATATTGCAGCTATTACAGGTATACTGAATTGGCAAAATCGTCTTTGGGACACTGTACAACAATTTACAGCTGAACGCGATAAAATGACTCTGAAGGAAATTGAAGACAAACTTACTGATTCCACATTCATCAAACAAGACGCATATATGTTCGATAGTCGAAATTATTTTCTCCAAAAAGTGACATTTAATATCGTAGACTCACAGCAACTTAGTATAGCAATATCTCGAATGCAAGGTCTTACAAATAGGTAAAAAAAATTTATATTAAATTTAATAACCTTCGATATAGTAATTTTAATATTTGGATATACATTGAATAAATTTAAATATGTGATTACATATATGTGATTACAGTCTGCGAAAAGTTAACATAGAGTGCATGAGAAAAAGCCGCGAATACGAAAGAGCATTAGCCGTTCAAATTATAATGCTCGCTCCATTCGCTCCACATTTCGCATCTGAATTATGGACCATTTTTCGTTCTGCGAAATATCATCTTATAGATAATAGAGATGTAGACTTAGATAAAGATCTGTTTGATCAGAAATGGCCAGAAATTGACATGGATTATAATCTTACAATGAATGTTTACGTAAGTATATATACATCAATATATTTCATATTAAAATGTTATTTTTTAACATTTAATTTGTTTAATATTTACAATAATAATTAATTATCCAGGTGAATAAAAGACAATTTCTCAAAATAAAGATTCCTCGAAGTAACCTCAACGATATGACGGCAGATACGGCGATGGAATATGTAAATCTTGATCCTTATTATCAAAAGTACTCGTACAATAAAAATATTGTTGAAATCAATTTTCAATCAAAGAAAGACTGTAATGCATCGTTATACATAACGATGGAGAAACAGAAAGAAGATTAGATAAAACACCAGCATTATGGTATTTTGATGTGTATATGTATATATATATATATATATATATATGTATGTGTATATATAAGATAAAAAATTTTATTTATCAATACAGAATTATTTATTACATAAAACCAAGCATTTCTAAAAACTTTTTAGGATAGTTCGACTTACCTAATACCATATTCTCCTTCATATCCATTATGTGGGATACTTTTCAAAAATTCTATGTAATCAGCAGGAAGATTGTTTTCCTTAGCTCCTTCTAATATCATATTTCTATATAACAAGAAAAACAGAAGTTTTGGTAAAAGTTAAAGATAATTATAATTGTATTCAAGCCTATAATAATCTCATTTTTTTAATTATATATGATTACATACATATATAATGGTGAGGGTCTTTTCTCCATAGGAAAGTCCTCTGGTTTTATATATTCCTTTGGATTATCACATTGCTGATATACTCTACAATTTAGAGTTGTACCACTAGGGGTTTCAACATTTACTTGCATCGCATGATATATTTTATCCTGAACACCTTCCTGACAATCCAATGTGAATAAATTACATTTGTTTATCTCCCAAACCACACCCCACACAACTGAATTTTCTGTTTCCACAATCGTTGCAGATGTCCCGCGCCATCGTTGAGAATATCTTTGAAAATCCAATCTAAAATTCTATAATTGAAATATATATAACAAATGTTATATATATATATATATGAAATATATAAGGTATCCTCAAATTACCAGATGTTCTTTCATTTGTGAATTTTCTAAGACATAATAACTTTTATGCAAAAATATGCGCGCAAATTGTTTTGCAAGTAGATTAGTTAACTTTAAATAATTTTCATTTAAAAACTATCACAGCCTCAGTATTTTCGTATAAGAATGTTTGTCTTAGACTATTGCATAAAATTTGTCATTGCACTCGGTAATTTCGGGACACCGAAAAATATTTAAAACGTTCGAGCAAAATACATAAAAATTAAGGATTTACGCAAAAATGATTGGTGCTTTATTAATAAATCCACCAATGATTTTGTGTGTCCGGAATGTCTCCGGAATCGACGAATGTACAAATTTGCCAACGTAGAACGAAAAATTTATACATATTTTTATCGTTTTTTTTCTTAATTACCTTTATGTAACCAATGTCTTTCACTATCGCAGTCGGATTATTTAGGCGTATCCTCTTGGCGAGTAAATTACTCCCATAAGCGAAGTATAGGAACGTGTTGGACATTTTTCAGGCCGACGTTTTCGACGATCTTTTCGTAAAGTAATTTTGAACGTACAAAGCACTCTCTCTCTCTCTCTCTCTCTCTCTTTCTCGCTATCTCATTCGCTACAATTCTATTTCATTCGGTGTTTAAAACGACGCGTAAACAAACATATATAGATTACATATGTACATAAGTGTGTATCTACGAAAGATAAGGTATCTCCTCCGCACAAGGCGACAGGTCGTCATTACAAAAATCTGGTGGCGGGGGGGGGAGAAAGAGGTGCGGGGCGCGCATTCCTCGTTCCTCCGGAACGCGTTTTCGTCTTCCGTCAGTGAAACACCCCGCTTGTCATCTTTCTATCGGATTAATCTCTCCGACTTCCACCGCGTCGGTAATTTCGGCGATTGCGTTTGACGCGCGCTCCGATCCGACCGACAGCGTCGCGTCTCGTCGCGTCCCGTCGCGTCGCGTCGCGTTCCGTCGCGTCGCGTCGCGTCTGACGACGAACGCCGACGGCGAGGAGCGCTCGGTCGTTTCCCTCTTTTCTTTTTTCCTTTCTCCGCTCTCTTTTCCGTGGCGATCACCGCGGACCGCGTACATCTGACGCATCTCGCGGAGGCACTCGAGACGTTCGACGGCGCAAGCCGCGCGATTACGGAGAGACCCCCGCGGGACGATAATGCGGGAGTAGCACAACGGTTTTCCATAACCTAAGTTGTAAATCGTGCGGAGGTAAGGCAGCTCCCGGTGACACACGGAGTGGCGAACATACGCGGACGCCGTGACGCGTGTCACTCTATCGGTTCTTTCTTTTCCTCTCTCTCTTTTTGTCCGGGCGCCCTGATAACATGGCCACGGCTACGACGTGTTCCGGAGCACGTTTTTTTGTCTCTTTATTTCTACCGACTCCCAAATGATGAGTTTATTTCTCATTTTATTTATTTATTTTTCTTTTACGTATAACGAACGTTAGGATTTTTAGAGGACGCACGTGTATTCCCTTGATTTTCAATATCTTGATTAATGGAAAAAAATGTTCGGAGGGACTGCACGAAGACGTGAAGAATGAAACAATTTATGGAGATTTATTAATTTAAGAATATGAATAATAGAATAATAGAATATAAATAATTTATTTAGTAAGGAAAAAAAAGAGAACTATTATTAAAATTAGATGTTTCTAGAATTTATACAAATTTGGGTAAAAATTTATTTTCCTACGTTTCCTATGTTGAATTAATTTTTACTGAGAGGATAAATTATTTTATGATTTTATTGATCTCATCGTATTTTTGTTATACTTCTCATGCAGATTACAATTGAATATTTTATTTTGCAGATATGCCTCCAACAAAGAAAGGTGACTTGGATAAGTTAGCATGGGCATGGATAGAATCTGTCAATCCAGATGAGGTCGACAGAATACATTTAGAAACTGCATATAGAATTGGATTAAAGAATTGTAGAAATTGCAAGTAGGTTGAGAATTATTTGTATTATTTTGTAATAAGAAAAAATTCAACAATGATATGATTAACATTCAAGTTAACCGTATCATGTTATAAGTTTATTGTAAGTATATATTTTAATTGTGACGCATTACTGTTTCAGACGTAATTGCACCTACAATCCCCAATGTCTAACAGGTTTGGGAGAGGAAAAATATATAAAGTCTCAGCCTGCTGAAGTAGTGTCTTTAGAAAGTTCCCTTTCTGAGCTACGCGATCCAACTCAATATGTAGGTTTAAAGAATCTAGGTGCTACTTGCTACGTCAATAGTTTAATCCAAATGTGGTTTCATAACGAAGACATGAGGTATGTGATATATGTTGATTGAAGCTGAATAGTTTTTCTTTGCATGTATGTTACGCATTATCTTAAGAAATCAAACCTCAACAGGAGGATAATATACAAATGGGACATTACGGAAGATCCGGAAGAAAAGGAGGCGTTGTACCAGTCAAAGAAAGCAGGAATACCCTATCATCCTGTAACGGCAGTCGGCCAGTTGCAGTACATTTTTGCGATGATGCAATTCGGCAATCGGAGTCTTCTCGATCCAATCAATCTCGCTATCGCGTTATCCCTGGATACTAGAACGCAGCAGGATGCTCAGGAATTCTCCAAGCTTCTACTGTGCCATATCGAAGGAAAGCTACAGCAAAACTCAGAGCTGAAGTCGATGTTGCAGAGGCTGACCCAGGGAAAATACAGCTATATCAATCGGTGGGTTTTCTGAAGTGGAACAATGAGAATTTTCCTAAACGATGATGGTGCTGATGATCTTGACGATGACAACATGGTAGGACACGTTGCCCGCTACGATGTCTGGCGCGACCGACTGATCCGACGAAGAAAAATGACTTTTTAGTAGATAATTAGAATTTTACGTTTGACGCAGTTGCTCCACGTGCAGTACTGAGTATCCAACATCCACCACGTTCTATGAATTGGATCTACAGCTGGCAGCAACTTTGAAGGAGGCGATCGACAATTATTTATCAGAAGAACAGCTGACGGGTGCGAATCAATACCATTGCGTTACTTGCAATGATAAAAAGGACGCCAGGCGATTCATACGATTGGAGTCTCTCCCGGAAACTCTAAATATTCAACTAATGCGTTTTGTATTTCATAGGTGAGTCTTAGACTTTTATGAATTTTATAATAATCAGCAAGCTTCGATCTGTTCGAAATAATGGCGCAGTTATTTATGATAGAGATTCCGGACAGAAGAAGAAGTTGAATTCGTATATTCAGTTTCCCGAAGATCTTGATATGTCGGAGTACGTTAGGTGTCAGCCGCAAACTCACCTGTATAGTCTCGTTGCAGTATTGAGCCACAAAGGTCCATCCGCGCATTCTGGGCATTACATCGCGAATATATGTAATTCAAGCGGGGAGTGGTATCAGTTTAGCGATGATAAAGTTGAAAAAATGCAGAATAAACGAATCGAGGATGGCGTAAATGGTAATTATTTTTTTTAATCAAAAACTCTGCATTTAATAAAAAATATGTATGACTTCTCACATGCGAGAAGATAGTCAGTTTTTTCTTTTTTTTTTATATAGATAAATCAATGAAACGTGGACGTGTTCCAAAAGGATTCCTATCGTCCAATACGGCTTATATGTTGGTTTATAAAAAGTTAACTGCAGATTGGCGAACAAACGCTGCGAAGAAAATGAAATTGAAGAAACCTGATGCGGAGGTAAATGTCTCCAGCGACGTCGTTTGTTCGGAGAAGTTTACTGTTCAAGAAAAGTCAAACTCTTCGGATGAAATAAAAGAAAAGCATGATGTTGAAGATGTACCATCAATTCAAGAAGAAAGTTCTGATAAGATACCGAAATTAAATGCAGAGGATAAGATAGAAAGGGATGACTCTGCAATATCTGAAAAGACTGATATACTTACTACGGATACAAGTGAAACTATAGAAACTGTTGCTAGCACTAACGGATGTAAAGATGTACACGATCCCACTTTGGATGAATTACAAAATAAGGTTCACTGTCTAAAGCAGCCGGTGGTAAAAGTTGTTAAACTTGATTATAAACGATTGAATGGCGATGCACACAGAGCTATGAGTTGCGGAGAACGAGATTTTTACGAAGAGGTAAATTTAGATGTAAATTCTTTTTAGATATCCGCGCTAAATTTTGCGTGTGTGATATTTGATTAAATGCATTTTTCTGTCTACAGATGGAATTTGAGAATTGGCAAGTAAGTAACACGATGCGTGAACTTGTCAGACAAGAGAATGTTAAACACGAATTGAGCTTGTTAGCCGCACAACAAGAAAAAGTAAGAAAATATCAATTATACTATATCAAAATTATACTAGACAAAATTTTAAAATTATTAAACTATTTTTATATTTATTGCTACACTATTTCTTTTTTTTTAGCAAAAAGAAATCGAAGATCAGAATTCCAAACGACAACTCGTAATAGATGTATATAACATAATTCAATCAACAATATATTGGAATAATTATTATTGGATACCAACCGATTGGTTATCGAAATGGTTGATCGGACATTCTACTACAACTAGCATTCGTCCGATCGACAATTCCAGTTTAATGTGCTCACATTATCGAGTCGATCCACTGAAAGTCAGTCGTGCGAAATGTGTGCCGGAGTTAGCGGCTCAGATGCTTTACGATAAATATCAAGGCGGTCCGCGATTAGATCAGACATATTTGTGCGAAATCTGTGTTAAACGACGTTGCAAATTACTACGTTTTAAGTTAGCACTTGAACGAGATCACAAAGAAGTTAGCGAACTAATTCGTGCATTTAAAGAACCGTATGTATTTTAATAATTTTTAAAATTTGTCACAATGAAAAAAAAGTGAAATAATAATAAGTGAAATAATATTAGTGATAATAATTGTGTAACGATATTTCTATTTTAGTACTGAGACGAGTTATATAATCGGTACTGATTCACTGCGATCATGGCGAAGATTAGCTATGGAAACGTTTCAAGAGGATATGGAAGAAAAAGTGGATGATTGTCAGGATACTATACAAGAGGAGACTAGAAATATAGACAAAGATGGCAATGATTGCCCGAAAGAAGTTGAGGAAAACAAAGAAAACGAAATTATTATAAATTTCAACGAAGACTTACTCTGCGAACACAAATCTCTTAAAACGGCGGACTCTAGTAGGAAAGTGATACCTCAAGAGGCGTGGTCGATTTTAAAAAAATATTTTCCGGATTCGAACGAATATCCCGTTGGATCATCATCTTGTTCAATTTGCGAGGTAGATTCATAAGTCTTTTGTTCTTTCTCTCTCTTCTATGTATGAATTAATTATTGAAATATTTTTTATAAGTTTCAATTATATCTGTATACTATTGATTTTCTCAGGAGAGGATGGAAAACGCACAGCGAGCAAAGAAGGACGACAAAATAAAGGCGAAGCAACAGAAAGACGAACTTACCGACTTGTATTACGGAAAAAATAGGAATGAAATCTCCAAGTGCGATGATCCTGAGAAACTGTTCTACATCGTTGAGAAAAGCTTCCTGGATAGTTGGCGTTCCTTCATTCGGTGAGTTTATTTAAATTTTATTTATGTTAAATTTTACTTATATCGCATTGATAAAAAATATCATAATCGCATTTTTAGACATGGATTTTACAATAATATTTTATATTGTCTTGTCCTTGGATAATACATAATTTAAACAAAAATTGTAAGTGTTTTATGATTATATATTTATTTTAAGTCTGGATTTTTAATCTTTTTAAAAAAAGAAGTTAATACACAAGTTAATATTTCTCAGATTACCATTTCATGATCATAACACTCTTCGTTGATATCTCAATTTTTATATTATAATCTTGTCGGTAATCGTTTACCAGGGCATTTGTACGTGGAGACTAAGATGACGCTAGTTGTCTTGGAAATTGTGATGTGAAATAATGTTGAATTTTTCGATCGATCGCTATAAAAACAAAGTAATTTATGTGCAACGTTTTTCGTGCATTTAATGATATCGAACAATATAAAAAATGTTACTTAATAAAATTGAAATATTTGACAAAAAAACAATGTAATATAAATTAGAAATGATGGAATTACCATATTGATATACAATTAACGGAGATTGATTAAAGATAAATTAAATATTCTTTGATTTTAACATATTGGTATTTAATAGATATGTAATATTTTATTTAATTGCAATTTAATTTGCTATATTTTATTACTTACTTACACTTCCTTTAAACACAAAATTAGTATTGAATTTTTGCATTGTCTCTAATACAATTGTGAGATTTTTGCGAGAAACGCGGCGAACGCTCGATCTCGCGTCCTTCATGATCGAAATCGGTGGTTCGTTTCGTTGTCATAAACGTTGGAAAGAGAGGAGGGTGGACGAGAAGGGTAGATATATCCGGGATGTATTAACGAGCTTTTCCTAATTATGAGAAAAAACTGGCCCGCGCGATTAAGCTGGGCGGCGGCGATGGCCGGGTCTCTTT